TTCAAAGTTACCCCAGAGGAAAGAGCTAAAGAGGCCAGGATTCTACTTCAGAGTCAGTTAAAAGGCCTTGGCAAGAAAAAGGAAGCCGGCCCTTTCCTTAACTTGCTCCAACAACGCTGGTATTTGGGGTTAGTTTAAGAAAGAGTTTCCCCTCCTACGGGACCTTGAGCCAGCCTGTTGATTGAGAAGAGCAAGTGCTGTCTGGGTGGTTCTTTGGCCAACACAGGGCCACTCAGCTCACATCACTTGTGAGGATGCACAGGAGCTAGACAGGTTAGGACTAGACCAAGCGGTCCCAAGATTTTTTGCAAAGCTGACCTACCATTTTTTTGTACTGAAGTTATAAGGTACCCTGGAGACTGACCTCAGACATCAGTCACTGTGGCTCACTCTAGCTGTTACAGCAGATAAGCTTTTCTATTAAAAATAGGATGAGAAGTTCATTTCAGGTTTGCTTTTTATGAGCCCTTTGCTGAGAGACACTTTCCGGTTCCACTGCTGTTAGCGGGCTTCTTTGTTTATTTGCCTATGTCTGCATGTCGGCATAGACTTGACACTCCCTTCCCTCCCCCTGCAGTCATTAGAATATGTTTACGCAGTGACTCACATCAGAGGTGTAAATGGATTTGGGGGAACTTATTCAGGAGACAGTGAAAGCCACTGGCACTTCCTGGCTTGAGTTTTCCTTGTGTTGCAGAGAAGGCTTTATCTGACACCAGCTTTCCATTGCGGAGGTGTTACTTAGGGAAGAGAAAGGAGAAAAAAATTAAGTTGAGACTTTCATAAACCCATATGTATTTGACTTTCTAGACTTTGGCACTTATTGCTGTCAGCATTTAAATTTTGAGTCTGCATCCACCTTTACCACTGCTGTTTGCAAAACCTGAGCTTTAAAGGGCTGTATTAGCCACGTCACACAGTGGCTCACTTTACACTTTGTTTCATCTCAATGAAAGACACACTTAGTGTGTGTCCTCTATGATTTAACTCTTAAAATAGATCTCCAAGAAATGGCTTACTATTTATCACAAAGTGTAATGGAAGTTTTGGTTTCTCTGTAAACTCAGTTATATTATGTTTTTGTTTTAATCTCAAGTGTGGGATTTTAGTTGGGCTTTAGTTTGTCCACAGCTGTCAATTGTCTTGTGCAGGGCATGGCTTTTGCCAGCTGGTAACAGTCTTCCACGTTTGGTACAGAGAGGGGCGTGGTCTAGGACTCTGAGGATATAAATATGAGAGCCCAGAAAGAGAATGAGTAGCGTATGGCCATGCTGTTTAGTGAGTAGCAGTTTGGAGAGACCAGAGATGGTCGGTTTGGCGGTTTGGAGCAGACAGGTGGAGAGAAACACTTCAGGGCACAGCAGCTTGGAGGAGGCTGCTGGCTGTGTTTGCTGGTGACAGAGATTGGTATAGCTCTGAAAGAATCCATTGACCCTCAACAGCCAGAAGTAAAGGGGCCAGGGACCCCTCCTCCCACTAATCTTCTCTCTCCTATGCAGAGTTGGAAGGGAGATAGAGACCAAATCACCCCAAATAAAACAGAGTTTTAAAAAACAAGTTCTATAGCAAAGGTTTTACTTTTGATTTTAACTTATTTTTATTTTGGGAGGGTCGGGCCTGCCCCGGTGAACGTGTGGAAGTCAGAGGACAATCTCCATAGAGTCGTTTTCCTCCTTCCACTTTACCTGGGTGCCAGCCATTGAACTCAGGTCATGAAGCCTACCTCATCAGAGAGCAAACACCTTTACCCTGAGCCATCTTGCTCAGCTCTGAAAGACTGTGTAATCACCATTCAAAAGTATGGGTTCTAAGTTAAGGAGGGAGTTCCTCACTGTATTTAAGGGCCCGCTCCTTGCCTCATATCTAAGGATAATTATAGTGCAGGGCACATGGTGGGTGTGAGGGTTTCATGAAGTAATAGACATAAAGTTCTTAGCACAATATCCGACGCGATGACTTCATGAATGTGGGCTACTAATAGTAACAAGCTTAGTAATAAATATGGTGCCTTCACCCAAACTTAATAGTGTTCGTATCACAACCAATGGCATTGGAGGTGACTCGGTTCCTAATATAACTGAAAAAGGGGTAGTTAATGAGCTTGAACAAGCCTTATTGAGAAATAATGAGGAATATTCAAACCAGAATTACAAGGCATAACCTATCTACCAGCAAATTTTTGATACCTCACAACTAAATGTTGTTAGTCCTTGGTAGAAAGCTAGGAAATTATGGTAATCTTGGAGAGTCACTATGACCTGGGGTCAGAGCTGGATGGCATCTGCTGCACGTGTGTTATGGTGGAGTTTTGCCAGTGCTTGAGATCTGCCTTCCGGTGGCCAGTGGCTTTGTAATTGGATGATGCCATCTTTGCTGTGTAACCGTGGGTTGGGTTGCTTGGCTTTCAGAACCCTTCTCTTCTTACTTAGGAAAGGGAGAGCTACCCTGTAACTTAATCCCATTAGTAGGGGAGGGTCACATTTTAAAACATACATGAGTGTGCTGAAGCAAAGTAGCATTAATAGTACTCATGTTCTTACTAATTCTATTGGCATAGGTTACTGTAGAGAAAATGAATTGGGCATCGGGAAGAACAATGGGCCCCAGGCACTGGGAGGTAGCCAGTGGGCACCAAGTCCGGTGCAAGACAAACGTCGCAGAGTGACAGTGCTCAACCTTCCTCCTCATCAGAAATCGTCTCCCCACACAGGCGTCAGTGTCTGCTTCTCAGGAGGGCAACTAGTGCTGGTGACAAGACATAGTCAACACACTGCGAGTTCCCATGTGTGTTTAGGTGACTTGGTGGACACAGGCGAAAACTAGTTAGGTTAGAGGCCAATTCAAATCTGTATTCCATGTACTGCACTATTGACTGTTGACGCCTCATACTGAGGTAGCTTGCTGATGCAGACTGAGCCCAGGCCTCAGAAGCTTTGGCTGAACTGGTCTCTGCCTGCTCTACTTCACACATTTCTGTACTTTTCCTGTTCAACCTCTTATGGTGTTAGGGTACCTCTGCCTTCCTGGGCTAGCCTTTTCTCCTGCCGACTTACTTTCTGTTCATTCCCCAACCTCAGTAACCCTTCCACCATAAAATCTCCCAAAGGTAAATTCCACCAGAATGTGTAGCCTTACAGCTAGCTCATTCTGTGCTGAACCTTGTCCCTAGACCAATATGTCCTACTGGGCTATTAGCTATTGAAACGTAGCCACCATGTTGGATTCACTGTGGGCTGGCCAGGAAGGAGCATGATGTGGGTTGGCATTTAAGTGGATGCTTGATAAGCATTCCTAAAACTTGACAGGAAGTTGAGTGGCTCACAAGCCAGATTTTTTTTCACTACTCCATTACTTTGGGTGGGATGGAATTCTACCTAGATTTTAAATATTTTTCAAATCCCTAAAGGACAGAAGCAGCTTTTCAGGCTGATGATACAGCTTAGCAGGTAAAGACACTTGCTGCATAGCTTTACAGCCTGAATTCAATCCCCAGGACCTACATGGTGGAAGGAGAGAATGGACTGTCCTCCTACCCCCATACACACCTTGTAGCAGATGTGTGCATTGTCATTGTCATTAAGTAGCTTTTTTCTTTATTGTTGTTGTTATTTTTTTATTATAATAAAGTCCTGGTGCCCACACTCAGAGCCCGGTGCCTGAAGGACAAGCACTGCTCCTGTGAGCTCCACCTCAGCTGTGTTCAGGACTCTTTCTACTTTAAAATCATTTTGGCTTTGGGCAGAATGTGCTAGTGAGAACTTGCTTCGTAGAAACCCGTGGAATTGACAAGGCACAATGCATGTTGTGATGAAGAGATTTAGAAAGTATGACCTTTAGATTAAGTTGCTGGTTCTTCTTGCCATTTGCTTAAGTTTGTATAATAAACAGTATTCATTCTATTCAATAATAAAAGTTTTATAAGGATAATCACATGAGTATAAGTTAAAAAAAATCATTACAGTCGCTGTTCTTATAATTTAAGTCTCTTGTCCTATATTCACAACTGTGTAGTACCTGCAGAGACTAAAGGTGTCTTTGTAAATACCACAAAGAATTTTAATCAGTGAAAAAGACAGCATTTGGTCTGTCTCTCTGTCTCTCTCTCTGTGTCTCTCTGTCTCTGTCCCTCTTTCTTTATCTATCCCTCTTTCTCTCTCTCTCATACACATTCAGACGCTAAAATTTCAAACTCTCAAGTAGAGTGCATTAATAAAAATATGAAATGCTTTTTCTTGTGTAAATCACAGCAAAGCTCTGAGAAATAAAGAACTAAGAAAGCGCATCATCATCTGGTGTTCTCAAGTGAAACCTGTCATGTTAACTCCCAACTCAGTCACGTACTTTTAAAGAAAGCTAAAAGCTTGTATCCTGCCTCATTGACAACAGCCTCAAACTGTTCCCTGTCATCGAAGAAAACAAATCTTTTGCTCATTTCTGCCTGGGGGAGGCAGAGGGACTGAGGTGGTCCTGTGTGGCTGAATTAGATGAAAGACTTTCCTCCCACCATGGAGACACAGAGTCTAATCAAGTGAAATGAGTTTTGAGATCGTAGCTCATTTCCTAGGGGAGATCAGTTCACACACAAACTCACGACATCTCATTCATCACAGCCGACGTGGTCTTCGCTCAGGAGAGGACCCCAACTGGGACTAAACCACCTGTCTTCCCTCAAAAAGGAGCAGTTTACCCAAGCAAGAGTGGAAAGCCTTCAATGAGAAGACTTGCCAACTACCAGATCCCTTCCATGCGGGACATTAGCAACAGGGAAGGGAATTTAGGTTTAAACAGAGGAAAGTTAAGTTTAAGGAGCTTTGGGTGGTTGTAATTTTAATGTTGCCTTATATAAATAATCATTAAGGAGACATTAACGTGATATAGGAGAGCCATCTTTCTCTCTTCATGTTGTTAAAGGAATGACATGACTAGCCTTCCCATCAAAACAGGGGGAAGAAGTATTGTTTCTCGGCCAGTAAATGATCCTTTTCTCTCATTTCTTTCAGGGCATTGTAGTAACTCCTGTGCTCCTGCTGCTTTTTGTGAGTATTTTGATATTGCCTTTCATACCTTTTATTAATATATTGTATTAACTATTATCTGCTGGACTACAGATGTGACTCAGGGGTAGACAGCTTTCCCAGCTTCCTCAAGGTCCTGCAGTTGCATCCTAGCACCATGAGGGAAAAACACTCCCCTGAAGCCTTTTTCAAACCTTCAAGGTCAGTCTTTAGAATCACACTGAAATCTGGATTCTTCTGTCCAACATGGCATCACATCATGAGCCGCCCCTCCCAGCAGGACCTAGAGTATTAACTCCAAGACGTAGAAAACCCCACAGTCTTGCCATCCAAGAACAACATCTGGTCTGAGTGATTAGGCCTCCCACTCCTGAATAAATCATTAATTATCATAAACCAGTGACCTATGGCCTGGATCACACATGTACTCCTCCTCCTCGTTGTTTTTTTCTTAGTAAATTGAAGTGATTAATAGTGACCTAGTGTTGGACGGTTTTTGAGAAAAAGAACCTCTCCCTAGTAGGTCTGAGGCAGCTGAGATCTCAAAGCTCCTACTTTTGCAACTTGCTCCCTGATCTTGGAAATACTACCACAGCATTTCCATTTCAAAAACGGAAAACAAACACCTAATGCCCTCTATCTCCCAAAGACAACAAAATATGCTGAAAGGGGAAAAAGGCCAAAACTACAAGTAGATAGATGGCCACTGGGTAACTCAACAAAAGTTGTTCTGAAAACAAGAAATGCTAATTAACTGTCTTATTTCCTTTGGCACTAGGATATGAGAAATTAGATGAAAGATTATAATAGAAATTAATGTTATCTCATGCTGAGCAAAGCATATGTAATCATAAATGATACCTAAAATATTTTATGAACTGTGCAGTTTTTCCACACACACATCTCCTAAATATAAATCACTCTACTTATCATGGAACTGTAGTGGGGATGCGTGTCTTGGAATGAAATGAAGCCGTTTGTCAGTGAATTAAAACTATGGGGAAATTTATTTAATTATAGTATAATTACCCAAGTTGGAATTCAATTAGAGTAATAGAGTGAGAGTCTTCATTTCTTACCAGCTGTGTAGAGAGGAGAAGGGGCTAGATATACTATCAAACAGTTGGATTCTGCATCTTTCATGAAAGCTATTACCTTCAAGTAATAAGCCACAGCCTCACTTGCCTCCTGAAATGTCGGCTCCACCCTGCCAAGGTCGGAAGAGTCATCATATCACTTCCCTCAGCAGAACAAACTTCCTGCATTTGGGCTGCTGCAATTCGGAATATACAATGAGTCAATTATTTGCATGCCTTCAAAAGAAATGGTTGGCTAAGGGCCTACTGCACATTAGATTTGAGGAGCTGGAATTATCCGCTAGTGGTTTTGACCAAGATTTGGTCTCCCAAGAGGAACAGTCCTCTGCAGGGACAAATTGCAGGCCAGTCTGAGAGTCACAAAGCAGGAGTAGAGCCCAGCCCACACCCAGTAACAGGCTGCGGAGCCTGGGTCTTGTGCATTACCAAGTTATTCCTGTGACTTGATTAAGCAGAGCTGTGGGTGTCGGGAGGAACAGCTTAACGGTACAGCGTTTGTTAGGCACCGGGATGACCTGAGCTGGGGTCTCAGAAGCCTTGTAAAAAGCCAGCTGTGAAGGCACATGTACTCCAAGGCTTGTGTGTACTCCAGTGCCAGGAAAGGGAGTCCCAGGGCTCACTGGCCGACCAGCCTAGCCAAACTGGGAGCTTCAGGGCAATAAAAAGACTGTCTCAAAACAAAAAAAGTGGAGAAGAAACAGAAAAGCCTTGGAGGTTGACCTTTGGCCTCACAGTGTACATTCACACACACACACACACACACACACACACACACACACACACGCCCTTGTACACACACAGAGTGAGGGGACAGAGTTTCAGCCACAACTAAGTGGCTGAGTCCTGGAATGCCTGGTGCCCTATTTTGATTAAAGGAGAACTGCTGCCTTATCCTTCTTTCCATCTGCGTGTCATAACAAGACATTTTCTCAGCTGATGAGTGTTTCAGCATCACATGATTACAAGCTTTCCTCTACTCGGCACTGTGAGCTTGGGAACGTTAGCTGGTTTGACATTTTGAAGGAGTGAGACTCTTAGGAGTACTGAAAGGCACACCGAGGCCCTCAGCCGAGTCGTCCGAGCTCCCCTATGAGCAGTGGGAGCTGGTTCAGAGCATCATCCCACGTCAGTAGCTGCTTCTGTGTTACTTGACTTTTAGTTCACGTTCATGGTGAACATTCCTTTGTCTGTCTGGGCTGTTGTATATTTTACCATGGGAATTTATAAAACACTTGGGTTCCAGGTCTTATTTATTGAGCTGGACAAATAATTGAGAGACTTAAAATACAAACACATTCTTGAAGAACTATATATTCTTTTTACCCACCCCTATTATGGGCTGAATTTTTATACTCAAGATTTGTTTACTGTCGACATCGCAGCCTCCAATGAACCCCAAAATGGCCTTATTTGAAAATAGTCATTGCAAATGTAATTAGTTCAGATAAGGTCATACCAGAAGAGGGTGCGGCCCTTAACCCAATATGATTAGTGTCCTTGTAAAACAAAGAGGCCGAGATTTACAGGGTGAACCCAGTGTGACAGTGGAGGCAGAGATTAGAGCTGAACATCTACCAGCTGAGGACCAGCCAGGACTGCCAGAGAAGACATGACAGAGATGCTCGTAGACACATTTCTGAGGAAACATGGCTGCACTTGCTTTCACCCACAGCCTTCAGAGCTATGAAGTGGTATTTCCGTTGGCTTAAGCTGCCCGGCTGTGGGCTGTTACAGAGCCCAACAAATAATATGAACCTGGAAACTACCATAGCACATTTTAAAGATGAAAATTGCTTGTTATTACAACAGAGTTGCTAACGAGTATGATTTTGCTAGTGAAATCTCAGTTCCCGGTACTAACCTCTTAGAATATCGCCTTGACTGTCTCACTCCAACTGAAGCCTGTCCTCTGATTTGTATTTCAGCTGCAAACATCTCCTGCCATGGAGCCTTGCAATGGAGTAAAGGATTGTTTTTACACCCTGTCCTTTGTTCCATGTCACTTCCCCTGTCTTCTGCATAATCGTCTACTTCCTTTGGTGTCTCACCATGTGTCTACACTGCCTGCTCTCTCCTTATGATAACTGTAAACCCCACGCCTTTTCCTCAGGCCCAGCATCTTTCCATTGCTTTCTTCTTCGTGCTGCACTGGGATTCCTCACTGCTGTTTTCGGAGTTCACATAGTTGACCTTCCAGACCCCAACCCCAGCAGGTTTACCTTCCCTACATCTTAGCCAACTACCGCATTAGGCAGACCCTTAATTAAGTTTTTCAACATTCTATCTGATCAGTAGCTTCCTAATGCATGATATATGCTCAAGTCCAAAATTCTTCAAACTCACTGAAATGGCCAGTTTTTTAACCTGGTCATTTTTCAATGTCTCCTGACCATGCCCACCCTTCCTTTGGCCCTACACTCTCACACCTCATTTTTCTTAGCTCCATGCTCCCTGGTTATAATTCCATCATTGCAGACTACATCAGGAATCTTGTTTATCCCTCCTTACTGCTCCTTCTTTGCCCATACATCACTAGTCCTGGGCTCTTTCATGTACCTGACCATGCTAGAGGCATTTTCAGTGTGATAACTGCTCCTCGTGAATTCCCAGCAACTGACCATTTGTCTGACAATTCTCTGATAGTCCCTGCCACATTCCCTCTTTAATCTGGAGAATCATTTCATATTTTTTCTTAGCATCTCGTATCTCTAATGCCTCTCTTCATATCAACTAATACAGAAAGAAAATTAGTGAGAAACAGAAATTTACCAGGCCCCACTTGCCTGCATCTGTCACCATAGTCCCTGTATTTCTGCTGATTTTGTGGGTGAACTCTGTTCTCTCCCACCTAAGTTCAGTTCTCCTATTGTCTATTAAATGGCATAATTTGTGCATATTTCCCCTTTTCTTCTACATTATCACGTTTTCCTTTATATAGTTACTTCTATCAATGTATTCTATAATATATATCTTAAAATTAAACTCTACCTTGTCCCACTTGTACGTCATCTTGTATTTACTTAAAAATTATATTTAAATCTACTCATTGCCTATTCAGTAATGCAAATTGAATTTTTATGTTCTGGGAACTGTCTTCTGCCATGGATAGAGCAGTAAGCAGAACAGATATGTTGTTACTCTAACACTGGTTATGTCATAGTGGAAAGAAACAACTAAGGAAAACTGCAGTGTATTTGAGTGTGTCAGTACTGCAGAGAAAAGGAAACAAAGAGACCAAAAAATGTCCGAGTAGGGAATAGGAGGAGCTTGCTGTTTTTATTAGACAGTAAGTTCAGACTCGTTGAGGAAGTAGTATCTGAACAGGAGATAAAGAATTGAGTATTCTGATATCACCAATATAAGAAAATCATGTAAAACCAAAGACTTGGAGGTTTAATTTGAGAGAAAGTAGAAATAACAATAAATTTTAGCAAAGGAATGACATTTTTCTGATTTTTTTCCCCTTTTTTTCTAGATAGGGTCTCACTATGTAGCCTAGGCTAGCCTTGAACTCCTGATCCTTCTGCCTCAGTTTCCTGAGTGTTAGGAGGGCACGACCACCATTGGCCTGATTCTGGATACTAGCTTGAGACTATCTAGGTTATAAAAGATGATGGTGGGGACAGGGTGGACATGGTAAAGCTGCTGAGCTTCATAGCAAGACATATTATTAGTTTAGATCAAAGTAGTTGAAAGTCTGGTGGGGAGTAGTTGAAATATAAAACTTGATCAAGTAAAACTGAAAGGGAGGAAAAGGTCAGGGGTAACTCCAAGCCTAGCCTTTGCAGTGTTGAAGTTATAGTTTATAATAGAAGGAAGAGTACGGGACTGGACATGTTGAAGGAGCTCACAAAAAGTTCAGTATTACACATTAATGTTGATGTGCCTTCAAGACATCCAAGCGGAGACCTAGAACCAGGGTCC